CAATTGTTGTGAAGAAGGCGTCAGGGCGCCCAAGAAAGTCCAGCAAGCGCAAGGACTGTCTCCTAAAGTTGATTCAGCTGCGGGAGCGGGGCACCACCAGTGCAGAGCTTGCTCAGGAATGGCAGCAGGCAGGTGTGAGTGCATCTGCACGCACAGTGAGGCAAAGACTTTTGGAGGATGGCCTGATGTCAAGAAGGGCAGCAAAGAAGCCACTTCTCTCCAGGAAAAACATCAGGGACAGACTGATATTCTGCAAAAGGTACAGGGATTGGACTGCTGAGGACTGGGGTAAAGTCATTTTCTCTGATGAATCCCCTTTCCGATTTTTTGGGGCATCTGGAAAACACCTTGTCCGGAGAAGATAAGGTGAGCGCTACCATCAGTCCTGTGTCATGCCAACAGTAAAGCATCCTGAGACCATTCATGTGTGGGGTTGCTTCTCAGCCAAGGGAGTGGGCTTACTCACAATTTTGCATAAGAACACAGCCATGAATAAAGAATGGTACCAACACATCCTCCGAGAGCAACTTCTCCCAACCATCCAAGAACAGTTTGGTGAGGACCAATGCCTTTTCCAGCATGATGGAGCACCTTGCCATAAGGCAAAAGTGATAACTAAGTGGCTCGGGGAACAAAACATCAACATTTTGGGTCATGGCCAGGAAACTCCCCAGACCTTAATCCCATTGAGAACTTGTGGTCGATCCTCAAGAGGCGGGTGGACAAACAAAAACCCACAAATTCTGACAAACTCCAAGCATTGATTATGCAAGAATGGTCTGCCATCAGTCAGGATGTGGCCCAGAAGTTAATTGACAGCATGCCAGGGTGGATTGCAGAGGGATTGAAAAAAAAGGGTCAACACTGCAAATATTGACTCTTTGCATAAACTTTATGTAATTGTCAATAAAAGCCTTTGACACTTATGGAATGCTTGTAATTATACTTCAGTATACCATAGTAACATCTGCCAAAAATATCTCATAACACTGAAGCAGCGAACTTTGTGAAGACCAATACTTGTGTCATTCTCAAAACTTTTGACCACGACTGTACATTTTATGGACACAGTCAATTTTACAATAATTATATTTTGTTTGTTTTTACTCCTGAACTTCCACTACCCTCAACCTCTCCGATCATTTTCATGATGTCCATCCGGTTTGCTTCTATATGCCATATCTTTCTAACTGTGCTCTTTCACAAAAGCTCTCAACCGATATACTTATTATGGACACAGTATGCTTTACATTAGTTATCTTCTTGTTATTAGTTGTTGTTAGTTGTTATTAGTCCCATCCTTCAACTTCATTCAACACCACCCATCTATCTCTTAACACCATCCATATTGGATTTCTATTTGCCATATATTTTTCAACTGTACTGTGATGTTTTACAAAAGTTCTGAACCTTTCTATTCTCATTGTTTCTACAGATTGTACATTTACGTCTTTTAGCAGATGCTCTTATCCAGAGCGACTTACAGTTAGTGAGTGCATACATTTTCATACTGGTCCCATGTGGGAAACTAACCCACAACCCTGCCGTTGCAAGCGCCATGCTCTACCAACTGAGCTACAGGGGACCAATAAGTTGTAAGTTGAAAATAAAATGTTTTGCTAAAAGTATTATTATATTATTGATCGATTGACTATGACTTTTCAGATCACCCAGTAGTGCTATCTGCAGGGTTAGCTCCAGGTAAATATTGCAATCCTTTAGCCATTCCTGGACCTGTGTCCAAAAACAAGCTACAAATGGACAGTACCAAAACAAATGATCTAATGATTCTGTCTCTTCGCAGCAAAATCTGCAGAGCTGGGAAAATTGTATCCCCCATATAAATAACATTCTATTGGTAGCAAGAATTGTATATAATAATTTAAATAGAAAAATTCTAAGTTTTGAATCTGGCGGTTTTGCGTATCAGTTCATGAACACTATGCCATGGAATCGGTACGTCAAAAATCTCTTCCCAACTATTTTGCACTCTATATGGGATGGCTGTCAATCCTTTGGTCCTTAAATGAAACTGGTATACTTTTTTATTTATCACCATTTTCTTTAACCAATTAATGTTCTTTAATGCAAGGCCGACAGACAAGTTCCTTACTTTTTCCCCCTTCCACTTTTCTCTTCCATTTTTGCGGTAATGCTGCAATTATTTGGTTGTAATTTTGGGTAGAGCAGACATTTCCATATGTTTTTGTTAGCTGCATGTGCGACATACAGTTGAAGTCGGAAGTTTACATACACCTTAGCCAAATACATTTAAACTCTGTTTTTCACAATTCCTGACATTTAAACCTATAAAAATGCCCTGTCTTAGGTCAGTTAGGATCACCACTGTATTTTAAGAATGTGAAATGTCAGAATAATAGTAGAGAGAATTTTTTATTTAAGCTTTTATTTATTTCATCACATTCCCAGTGGGTCAGAAGTTTACATACACTCAATTAGTATTTGGTAGCATTGCCTTTAAATTGTTTAACTTGGGTCAAACGTTTTGGGTAGCCTTCCACAAGCTTCCCACAATAAGTTGGGTGAATTTTGGCCCATTCCTCCTGACAGAGCTGGTGTAACTGAGTCAGGTTTGTAGGCCTCCTTGCTTTCACACGCTTTTTCAGTTCTGCCCACACAAATGTTCCATAGGTTTGAGGTCAGGGCTTTGTGATGGCCACTCCAATACCTTGACTTTGTTGTCCTTAAGCCAATTTTGCCACAACTTTGGAAGTATGCTTGGTGTCATTGTACATTTGGAAGACCCATTTGCGACCAAGCTTTAACTTCCTGACTGATGTCTTGAGATGTTGCTGCAATATATCCACATCATTTTCCTTCCTCATGATGTCATCTATTTTGTGAAGTGCACCAGTCCCTCCTGCAGCAAAGCACCCCCACAGCATGATGCTGCCACCCCCGTGCTTCACGATTGGGATGGTGTTCTTCGGCTTGCAAGCATCCCCCTTTTTCCTCCAAACATAACAATGGTCATTATGGCCAAACAGTTCTATTTTTGTTTCATCAGACCAGAGGACATTTCTCCAAAAAGTACAATCTTTGTCCCCATGTGCAATTGCAAACCGTAATCTGGCTTTTTTATGGCGGTTTTGGAGCAGTGGCTTCTTCCTTGCTGAGCGGCCTTTCAGGTTATGTCGATTTAGGACTCGTTTTACTGTGGATATAAATACCTTTGTACCTGTTTCCTCCAGCATCTTCACAAGGTCCTTTGCTGTTTTTCTGGGATTGATTTGCACTTTTCGCACCAAAGTACGTTAATCTCTAGGAGACAGACCGCGTCTCCTTCCTGAGCGGTATTACGGCTGCGTGGTTCCATGGGGTTTATACTTGTGTACTATTGTTTGTACAGATGAACGAGGTACCTTCAGGTGTTTGGAAATTGCTCCCAAGGATGAACCAGACTTGTGGAGGTCTACCATTTTTTTTCTGATGTCTTGGCTGATTTCTTTTGTTTTTCCCATGTTGTCAAGCAAAGAGGCACTGAGTTTGAAGGTAGGCCTTGAAATACATCCACAGGTACATCTCCAATTGACTCAAATGATGTCAATTAGCCTATCAGAAGCTTCTAAAGCCATGACATCATTTTCTGGAATTTTCCAAGCTGTTTAAAGGCACATTCAACTTAGTGTATGTAAACTTCTGACCCACTGGAATTGTGATACAGTGCATTATAAGTGAAATACTCTGTCTGTAAACAATTGTTGGAAAAATTACTTGTGTCATGCACAAAGTAGATGTCCTAACCGACTTGCCAAAACTATAGTTTGTTAACAAGAAATGTGTGGAGTGGTTGAAAAACAAGTTTAAATTACTCCAATCTAAGTGTATGTAAACTTCCGACTTCAACTGTAACTCCACCAGTCCTACCGATGATATCATTTACGAAGATTATACCTTTTTTAATCATTTTGTCAAAATAAGTTTTTTTTTTTATCAATTAGTATATTTGAGTTTAACCACAATATTTGTTGCATTATTTGTTCTGTCTTTTCTGGAGGATTAAATTGAAATTGCAATCAACTTTCTATAGCTTGTTTTAGAAATAGTGATATTTGGGAGATGATTTTCTTTTCAAATAACTGAAAGTGAGAGGTTGTAATCTGAATAAAGGGAAAAAGGCCATTCTTGAACATTGGGTGAGACAATTGTACAAATTTGCTAGAGAACAAGTTCGGATTTAAGTATAACTTTTGTATGACTGAAGCTTTTAGTGATAGGTCAAATGCTTTAATATTTAATAATTTCTGTCCTCCGAATTCATATTCATTATATAAATAGGCCCGTTTAATTTTGTCTGGCTTGCCATTCCAAATAAAATAAAATATTTTTTTCGCATATAATTTTAAAAAACTGTTCGCTAGGCGTAGGCAAGACCATAAGCAAATAGGTAAACTGGGATAATACTAAAGAGTTAATCAGGGTGATTTTTCCACAAATTGACAGGTATTTACCTTTCCATGGTAGCAAGATCTTATCTATTTTTGCTAACTTTCTATTAAAATGTATTGGAATGAGATCATTTATTTCATTTGGGATATGTGTTCCGAGTATATCCACATCACCATCAGACAATTTTATTGGTAAACTACATGGTCATGTAACATTTTTATTTTTTAGTGATCCAATACGTAATGTAGCACATTTATCATAATTGGTTGTAATCCAGAGAGGCTAGAAAATGTATCTAGATCCTCTATGAGGCTGTGGAGGGATTTCAAATTGTGGATTTCAAAGAAAACATGAATCATCAGCATACAATGACACCTTTGTTTTTAAGCCCTGAATTTCTAATCCCTTGATATCATTGTTGGATCTAACATCTCGATGGCCATAATAAATAGATATGCCGATAGTTCTCTATTTTTACAGATACATTCATACTTCAGATGTTTTTATTGAGAAATGTACACATACAGTGATATTCCAAAAGTTACAAATCCAGTCATACTGAAAAAAGGGACTACAACTCATAATAATTAGGGCTGTCAAACAATTCTAAAATGTAATCGAGTGAATTACAGGATTTGCTTTGATTAATTGCGATTAATCGCAAATTCTGAATTTGCTCAAATTAAGCTGTAATTTAAGATTTTTTATACAAAAACATTTCGAGAATATTGACATCTTGATTTTGTCTAACGGTTAGCACAATTAGGTAAATTGAAAAAAATACACTTTCTTTAACCTCAATGTCAACTTGTTTTTAGCTGAATAGATTATGTATTTGGGATGTTTTCAGTATATTTGGAAAGCTTTCAGATAATGCGATAAATCACGATTAAAAAACAAAGTTAACTGGAGTTAACTGATTAAAGTCTGACAGCCCAAAGAATAATGCACCAGCTTCATCAGTGAACCAGGTTGATACTACATGCTACAACTCATAATACATTAACACTAACTAGCATGACAGCAATGGACTACAAAGCCACATGGGCGGACTGATACAGCCAGAGGTAAACAATCTCTCCCGGAGAGTCAGAAAGTAAGGCCATGACGATCGTCAATCATCATAGTTGTCATCATAGTCAATCATCATAGTTGTCATGGTGATGGTCACGGCCACAACGGTTGTGATGATTGTCACGATGACAGGGCAGAGTCAGGTTGTGGTCAAGGCTGGGGTTAAAGGTCATTTCTTGGTGGCCTTGCGTAGGCAGGTGAAGAAGGGGTGTCTGAGAGCCTGGTCCAGGGAGAGGCGTTTAGCCGGGTCGTACTCCAGCATCTTCCGGATCAGGTCAAACAGCTGGTCGTGGTCCAAGCTCTGGACCATCATGTATTGCTGAGGAGAGAGAGGGGATGGAAGTGGTGGAGGAGAGAGAGCAGATGATCAGACAACAACACTGTGATTCAGATGTCTTTATCTCACTGCTAAATTATGTAAATGTATCTATAAGGTCAGTTCCATTACATGAATTGTGATACAAAATAGGTTGCCCCATATTGCTAAAGGCCCTCCTTACCTTGAGTGGTTTGCAGTGTTTCCTCACGTATCTCCCAGAGGAGCTGAGTGCATCCCAGTCCAGCTGGTACCGATGGACGTACCGCCGCTTCTTGGTTTTCTGCAGGAGGTGTACCGGTATTGGGCCCAGGACCCTCTCCATCATAGCCAGGTGTTCTTTACTGTCATGGGTCTGGAGGAGAGAACACAAGAGTGACATGGAGATGAGTCTAAAGTTACACCCAGGACACACTGATCAAGGGTGTTTTTTTCTGGATCAAAATGGGGCTTTGGTGGTGGGCGGCGTTGCAGTGGCTCCGGCATAAAAATATTTTACCCTCTTGGCAGCGGTAGCAAAATGTTGCTGTTCTAAATCTAATTTCCTGTAATTCTACACATTTTGCCATGGCTTATGCTGTGTTCTTATGCTATCTGAGTGACTTAAACATAACAAAATCAATGGGGGCCCCATGCCATGACAAAAAGAGTCCTGAAGGTATCATTTTTTGAATTTTTGATTCTCCCTGACTGTCTAGCTTATATTTTGGTGATTATTAGTTCTCAAAGATGATCTTATTTAAAAAATATATAGGTCTACATACTCTATATCTGGTTTTAGTCGTTTCAAGTTTACACTGAAAATGTCTTTCCATACCAAAAATTATTTTAAAATATTAAAATGTTTTACTGTGCGGACTTAGGCGACCCAAAATAACACTTCGGAGGCCCGGCCAAACTTTTATATGCAGAAAAAAACCCTGTGATCTACCCATGCATACAAAGAAGCCTGAACAGCTTGAGATGAATGCATGATTTAGGAGGCATTATTAGTATGATGATATTGTCGATAGCAGACAGTCCCCCACCTGGAAGAGAGTTGATCCCAGGTAGTATTCTATGAGGATACAACCCAGACTCCACACATCACAGGCATGGTCCCAGCCCAGATCTACAGAGAGAGAAGCATTACACCAGCAGAGAAACAAGGATGCATCCCAAATGGCACCATATGCCACCTGGATGCAGCCCACGTCCGTATAACGTCGCTATCTGATGAAAACCCTGTAACTCCGTTTTTCCTAATTTTCATTTTTGTACATTTATTGAAATCAGTAACTCCCCTTAATGTACTCTGAACATTTCAGCACTCTAGGACCAAGAACATGTATCACAAATAGCTTCTGAAGTTTTATAATTGTATGTTTGTTAATGGGAAAATATGGTACTTTTTTCAATTTCCTGAAAGTTTGTTTGAGATAAGGTTTTCATCAGACAATGGCAATAAGCAGCTTTATCACATAATATCAGTAATATCATGAATTAGCATTGAGGCAGAGTGTGTGTCTTACCCAGAATGACCTCTGGAGCTCGGTAGTGGCGTGTGGACACCACGGAGGTGTGGTGGTTGTGTTCATATGTGGCGTTGCCAAAATCAACCACCTTCACGTCCGGGTTCTTCAACGTCCTCTCGTCGCGCTTCTGTAGGGCAGAGATGAGTCATGACAAATATTCATTTGAAAGAGTCAGACAGTACAAATAAGGCTTACACACAACCAAATCACAGATCGTCTGTCAGCACAGATAAATGTGGGAGAGTGGGTAGGTAACAGACTCGTACCATTTTGGCGTTGTACTCGATGTCGTACTCTGAGTCCACAAACAGAATGTTCTCGGGCTTCAGGTCAGTGTGTGTCAGCTTGTTCTTATGCAGGACTGAAACAAACAGCAACCAGGGAGAACACAGTCAACACAGGCAGGAGAGTAGACAACCCTTCATTCTATTAGGTCATTTGTACAATTGAATACACTGTGAAGTCACCACTATAACCCAACAACTTTTCATTTACAGTGTCTGCCTCCCAAATGGTGACGTATTCCCCTCAAAATTAAATACTTTGTATTATATTGAGAACAGGGTGCCATTTGGGACACAAACAATAACCTTTTAGTTGAGATGTAGTATTGCTCTTATCCAGTGTGGGTGGTGGTTACTACCACAGAGATCCTATTAAATAACTATTCTAATATGTTCTAATGTGTAATTCTATGGTAACTACTCACATCGTACGGCTCGGATGATCTGGTAGGCCATGATTCTGATGTGTTCTACAGGGAACGGCTGGAAGTTGTTCTCCTTCAGGTAGTCATAGGTACTGAGCCCCAGCAGCTCAAACGATATACACACGTGACCATGGTGGTCGAACCAGTCCAGCATCCTCACACATCCACTGATATGGAGGAGGAGAGGTGGAGGAGGGGGGAAGAGAGAGAGGGAGGAAAGAAAGAAAGGGAGGGGAGAGAGAGGGGGAGGGAGACAAAGGAGGGATTTACATTTCAGTCATTTAACAGACACTTATTCAGAGCTAATTACAGTTAGTGCATTCATCTTTAGGTACAGTTGAAGGCGGAAGTTTACATACACCTTAGCCAAATACATTTAAACTCAGTTTCTCACAATTCTGACATTTAATCCTAGTAAAAATTCCCTGTCTTAGGTCAGTTAGGATGACCACTTTATTTTAAAAATGTGACATTTCAGAATAATAGTAGAGAATGATTTCTTTCAGCTTTTATTTCTTTCATCACATTCCCAGTGGGTCAGAAGTTTACATACACTCAATTAGTATTTGGTAGCATTGCCTTTAAATTGTTTTAACTTGGGTCAAACGTTTCGGGTAGCCTTCCACAAGCTTCCCACAATAAGTTGGGTGAATTTTGGCCCATTCCCCCTGACAGAGCTGGTGTAACTGAGTCAGGTTTGTAGGCCTCCTTGCTCGCACACGCTTTTTCAGTTCTGCTCACACATTTTCTATAGGATTGAGGTCAGGGCTTTGTGATGGCCACTCCAATACCTTGAATTTGTTGTCCTTAAGCAATTTTGCCACAATTTTGGAAGTATGCTTGGGGTCATTGTCCATTTGGAAGACCCATTTGCGACCAAGCTATAACTTCTTGACTGATGTCTTGAGATGTTGCTTGAATATATCCACATAATGTTCCTTCCTCATGATGCCATCTATTTTGTGAAGTGCACCAGTCCCTCCTGCAGCAAAGCACCCCCACAGCATGATGCTGCCACCCCCGTGATTCACGGTTGGGATGGTGTTCTTCGGCTTGCAAGCATCCCCCTTTTTCCTCCAAACATAACGATGGTCATTATGGCCAAACAGTTAGTTCTATTTTTGTTTCATCAGACCAGAGGACATTTCTCCAAAAAGTACAATCTTTGTCTCCATGTGCAGTTGCAAACCGTAGTCTGTCTTTTTTATGGCGGTTTTGGAGCAGTGGCTTCTTCCTTGCTGAGCGGCCTTTCAGGTTATGTCGATATAGTACTCGTTTCACTGTGGATATAGATACTTTTGTACCTGTTTCCTCCAGCATCTTCACAAGGTCCTTTGCTGTTGTTCTGGGATTGATTTGTACTTATCGCACCAAAGTACGTTCATCTCTAGGAGACAGAACGTGTCTCCTTCCTGAGCGGTATGACGGCTACGTGGTCCCATTGTGTTTATACTTGCGTACTATTGTTTCTACTGATGAACGTGGTACCTTCAGGCGTTTGGAAATTGCTCCCAAGGATGAACCAGACTTGTGGAGGTCACCATTTTTTTTGGCTGATTTCTTTGGATTTTCCCATGATGTCAAGCAAAGAGGTACTGAGTTTGAAGGTAGGCCTTGAAATACATCCACAGGTACACCTCCAATTGACTCAAATGATGTCAATTAGCCTATCAGAAGCTTCTAAAGTCATAACATAATTTTCAGGAATTTTCCAAGCTGTTTAAAGGCACAGTCAACTTAGTGTATGTAAACTTCTGACCCACTGGAATTGTGATACAGTGAATTATAAGTGAAATCATCTGCCTGTAAACAATTGTTGGAAAAATTGCTTGTGTCATGCACAAAGTAGATGTCCTAACCAACTTGCCAAAACTATAGTTTGTTAACAAGAAATGTGTGGAGTGGTTGAAAAACGAGTTTTAATGACTCCAACCTAAGTGTATGTAAATTTCAGACTTCAACTGTAGCTAGGCAAGACAACCAATGGTGTCTGATATTGATGATATACACTGATATTTAATCATTAAGGTGAGATATTTAAGTTATAGTCCATAATTAAAGTGTAAGCCCGGCAGATAGCTAACTACTGCATGTGAGACTGCTCCTCATCCTCGTAATGGAAAGCCTAGGTGATTTCTGCTAATGTATGGGGCTCCTTCTAATAACATGTGTGACTTACTATCTCCGGTCACAGTCCAGAGAGTTCATCTGCTCCAGCACCTCCACCTCAGCCATGGCCGCCTCGCGGTAGCGGTCAATGTTTTTAATGATCTTCAGTGCCACGCGAGCACCAATTCTGGAATCACAGACAAGACACACATATCCAACTGTTAGAGAGGGAGAGGCTTTCAGATGAGAATGAGAGCACACTGTAGGTGCTAAAAAGTTAACAAACAAAAAAGGGGGGGGGGGGGGGGGGGGGGGAGTAGCATAGTCACCGTGACATCCAGACGTTTCCATTGAGCGACTTACTTCGAGTGATCGATGCATTCCACAACTTTCCCAAAGGCTCCTTCTCCTAGAGTGGACACAATCTCATCTACAGGGAATAAAGAGCACTAGTTAGAACCAGAGGAGTGATGACTGGCATCCACTACCATCCCAGATGATATGCCACAAAATGGCTGCCTAGCTGCTTTGTTTGATATGGATTTAGCATTATACTGTCTGCAACTAGAACAGGACAGGGCTCCAAGCCAACCGAACACAATACACACATCACACTAATAATGATATGTAGCGAGGTGTAATACTAATCCACATTTAACAATACAATGATAAACCCTACCCGCCCAAATACAAGTGTATACAGTATAATATTATTTTGCAACAGTACACCATATCAAAAAACAACAACAAAACAGATAGCTAGTTGACAGAGAGAAAAAAGGGATATATTCTATACATCTGGCTCTCAGCATGTCTCCCCTGTGATAGATCAGGTGACCCTCGTCATCATCCTCAACACTCCTGGATCTTTTCCTGCTCCTGCGATGATGGCTCCTCTGTTGTCCCATCACCACCATCACCACCATCATCAACCACCATCATGGACCCAGAGAGAACACCATCATCAGGCCAGGCCACCACAACGGGACGGAACGTGCCATTCATTCATTCAGCGGGCAGAGGGGGGGATCGGACGTGGGGGTGAGATTTCGGATGGATCGGCCCATTCAGAGTGGGTGGGTTGCGAACCAGGCAGCGCCAGCGGACCACAGCGGGAGCAGCACATTCAAATTCAGCCCCACCAGAGAAAGGCAATGGGGGCGTCACCACATAGTGGGTGTTACAGAAGAGAAACATGGCAACAACAAGGTTCATGTGAGAGACTTTCTCAAAGTAAGCGGTACAAAACATTATCAACCATCAGTCTAGTAGAATAGGCTAATATGAATTTGTGTCTTTCAAGTTACAGTTCTAGGTCATCTTCTGACTGCTAATGATACATATAAAGCTTCCCTTGACTATTCTTATTGAAGCCTCGTTAAGGTGTTTGCGCCTAGTCTGCTACAGTTATGCCTAGATCGTATTCAGTGAATTTTGGTACTAACATTGGATCCATAATTCTAACTCATCTGTTTTTCACTGTGGTACATATTGAGAAAGATAGACATAAAGAAAAGCTAACACCACTAATAACCATCTAGGGGGTTGGTTGGAAAGGACAGAAGAGCGTGTAGGACGTTCTCATACCGAGTAAGAGGAGCGTTGATGAGAAGGGCTGCGTCTCCGCCCTCGGCGGCTACTGCGGACACTCTTGCCGCTCCGCCCGGATGACTTGCTGTAGTGGTGCCACTCCTTGTCCTTCTCCCTCTCGCGGTCTCTGTCTCTATCCCTGGAGGCGGCAGCCCTGCTGTCCTCGTCGTAGCCCATCTCCAGGCTGGCTTCTCTGCCCCTCCTGTCCTTAGACTCTATCCTCTGCTGGTTCAGGCTGTGGGTCTCCAGGTAGTGCCTGGAAGGGAGAAACAACACCACAGTTAAATGACTGACTCCTTCTCCTGCCTACATAGCCACTGCTTGGTTCTAATGGCCGGGACCTATGCCTTCACCGACACCCTATCCCAAGGGGCTTAATATATAACATTTTAAATTAGTAACAAGCTTATTTACGACTACAGAGTGCAACATCGTCACTCCAGGGTTCTTGATGTGACAGCATAGTGTATATTCCTAGTTTTGGGGGTAAACTGATGCAACAAACTGGACAGACAATATGTCTCAAGAGCTGTTAGAACAGATCATGTAGCAACATTTCACATGAATAGATCATAAATATGAGCAGCCAGCTTGCTCAAGCACCCCCCCCCCCCTTCCCCCCTCCTCTCTGTCTCCTGCAGCATCCCCCTCTACCCTCTACCTCCCTCACACCAACGCACGCAAATCTAAAGCACAGGTGTCCGCTACGACAGTTGATTTGGCTCAGTGAGGAATCCGTGAAGCCCTTTCAGCAGAGAAATGTGATCGGAGTCTGGACCTCCAGAGCCCCACAGTCAGAGAGAGCCATGAAATGATTGTGAGCAGCAGTCGGGAGAGGACGTGTTTTTCTCTAGCTCTCTAGCTCTCTAGCTGGAGGTAAGCAAACTTCTCATTTGGTGTTGAGTATAGCTTAACCATGCATTAGATCGTAGGTTGGTAGTTAGTTGTAGTTAGGTATTGTATTTATTATAGGTTAGTATTGTAGTATTGTAGTATTGTTGTTATTGTAGGTTTCCGTAGGTTATTGTAGGCTAGTATTGAAGCTCGAGGCTAGCTAGCTCTCTAGCTGGAGGTAAGCAAACTTCTCATTTGGTGTTGAGTATAGCTTAACCATGCATTAGATCGTAGGTTGGTAGTTAGTGTAGTTTGGTATTGTATTTATTATTATAGGTTAGTATAGTTGTTGTTGTAGTATTGTTGTTATTGTAGGTTTCCGTAGGCTATTGTAGGTTAGTATCGAAGCACGAGGCTAGCTAGCTAGCGGGTAGCTACTGGTAACACGATTAGCTGTTCCCACTGTTAAATGTGCTTCTAGCCAACGTTTAATTTTTTGCTGCGTTCTGCGTTATGTAAGGAACTAGACACGGACATGAATCATCTGTTTAGTGTGCTAACACACTCTTGGCAGTTTGTTGTAACCAAGTATTGGTGCTAATTGTGTGTTAATGGATGCTATCTTGCTAGTCAGCTACGGCGTCATAGCTAGGTATCGTGGGTAGCTACTGTGTCTTGGCAGTGTCTTCCGCCGTGCCGGCTGTAGCACGAAGCGAGCTAATTAGCCGTTTTTTTCGAACAGAGTCAGAGTCAACACAGTAGCCATTGTGTGCCGGGTGTAGCACGAAGCTAGCTAGCTAGCCGTTCTTAAAACAAAGCCAACACAGTGGCCATTGCTAGCTACCCAGCACGACCTAGCTACCCAGCACGACCAGCGGACGGTACGGTAGCAGCTAATTACAATATACTTGTCCTAGCTAGCCAATGTTGAATCATTGCTGCGCCATGAAAGGAACTTGACACAGACACGAATGATCTGTTTAGTGTGTTATCACACTATTGGTGGTTTGCTGTGACCAAGTGTTTGTGCTTGGCTGTGTGTTACTGGATGCTGGCATGCTGGTTAGCTAGTTAACACACTATTGGTGGTTTGTTGTGAGTATTTGTGCTTAACTGTGTGTTAAACTGTGTGTTATTGGATGCTAGCATGCTAGTCAGCTATGGTGTCATAGTTGGCTAGCTGAATAAAGTGGGTTTGAGTTTATTCCTTTAAACATTGAACAACTGTTCAGTGAAACAATTTTAGTTTCTGAGGTAGAAGTTTTTGGTGAGGGAGGCCCCCCTCTCTCCTCTCCCAGATGCTTAGCTCATTTCATTCCGATCTCCTCTGCATTTTTGTAGCCATTTGCTACAGCCTGTCAACTATGCCTCTGCCTATCCCTGTTCTCTCCTCTCTGCGCAGGCTACACAAACAACGCACAACACCGCGCGGCTGCTGCCTCTCCAACCTGGTGGTCCCTGCTCGCACCCCTCACCTGGAGTTCCAGGTCGCAGGCAGCCTCTGGAACTGCCGTTCTGCTGCCAACAAAGCTGACTTCATCCCAGCCTATGCCAACCTCCAGTCCCTCGACTTCCTGGCGCTGACGGAAACATGGATCACCACTGAAAACACGGCTACTCCTACTGCTCTCTCCTCGTCTGACCATGTGTTCTCGCATACCCCGAGAGCATCTGGTCAGAGGGGTGGTGGTACAGGAATCCTCATCTCTCCCAAGTGGACATTCTCAATTTTTCCCCTAACCCATCTGTCTATCTCCTCATTTGAATTCCATGCTGTCACAGTCACTAACCCATTTAAGCTTAATATCCTTGTCATCTATCGCCCTCCAGGTTCCCTTGGAGAGTTCATTAACGAGCTTGACGCCTTGATAAGTTCCTTTCCTGAGGATGGCTCACCCCTCACAGTTTTGGGGGATTTCAACCTCCCTATGTCCACGTTTGACTCATTTCTCTCTGCCTCCTTCTTTCCACTCCTCTCCTCTTTTGACCTCACCCTCTCACCGTCCCCCCCTACTCACAAGGCAGGCAATACGCTTGACCTCATCTTCACCAGATGCTGCTCCTCTACTAATCTCACTGCAACTCCCCTCCAAGTCTCCGACCACTACTTTGTTTCCTTTTCTCTCTCGCTCTCCTCCCACACTACTCACTCTGCCCCTACACAGATGGTAATGCGCCGCCGCAACCTTCGCTCTCTCTCTCCCACTACTCTCTCCTCTTCCATCCTATCATCTCTTCCCTCTGCTCAATCCTTCTCCCTCCAATCTCCTGATTCTGCCTCCTCAACCCTCCTCTCCTCCCTTTCTGCATCCTTTGACTCTCTGTGTCCCCTATCCTCCCGGCCGGCTCGGTCCTCCCCCCCAGCTCCGTGGCTTGATGACTCACTGCGAGCTCACAGAACAGAGCTCCGGGCAGCGGAGAGGAAATGGAAGAAAACTAAACTCCCTACCGACCTGGCATCTTTTCACTCCCTCCTCTCTACATTTTCTTCATCTGTTTCTGCTGCTAAGGCCACCTTCTACCACTCTAAATTCCAAGCATCTGCCTCTAACCCTAGGAAGCTCTTTGCCACATTTTCCTCCCTCCTGAATCCTCCTCCCCCCCCCCCCACCTCCTCTCTCTCTGTGGATGACTTCGTCAACCACTTTGAAAAGAAGGTTGACGACATCCGATCCTCGTTTGTTAAGTCTAATAACACTGCTGGTCCTGCTCACACTGCCCTACCCTATGCTTTGACTTCTTTCTCCCCTCTCTCTCCAGATAAAATCCTGCGACTTGTGACTGCAGGCCGCCCAACAACCTGCCCGCTTGACCCCATCCCCTCCTCCCTTCTCCAGACCATCTCCGGTGACCTTCTCCCCTACCTCACCTCGCTGATCAACTCATCCTTGACCGCTGGCCATGTCCCTTCCGTCTTCAAGAGAGCGAGAGTTGCTCCCCTCCTCAAAAAACCAACACTCGACCCCACTGATGTCAACAACTACAGACCAGTATCCCTTCTTTCTTTTCTTTCCAAAACTATTGAGCGTGCCGTCTTTAGCCAACTCTCTTGCTATCTCTCTCAGAATGACCTTCTTGATCCAAACCAATCAGGTTTCAGGACTGGTCATTCAACTGAGACTGCTCTTCTCTGTGTCACGGAGACTCTCCGCACTGCTAAAGCTAACTCTCTCTCCTCTGCTCTTGTCCTTCTAGACCTGTCTGCTGCCTTTGATACTGTGAACCATCAGATCCTCCTCTCCACCCTCTCCGAGATGGGCATCTCCGGCGCGGCTCACTCCTGGATTGCGTCCTACCTGACCGGTCGCTCCTACCAAGTGGCGTGGCGGGAAGCTGTCTCCGCACCACGTGCTCTCACCACTGGTGTCCCCCAGGGATCGGTTCTGGGCCCTCTCCTTTTCTCCCTATACACCAAGTCACTTGGCTCTGTCATATCCTCACATGGTCTCTCCTATCATTGCTACGCTGACGATACACAACTAATCTTCTCCTTTCCCCCTTCTGATAACCAGGTGGCGAATCGCATCTCTGCATGTCTGGCAGACATATCAGTATGGATGACGGATCACCACCTCAAGCTGAACCCTGGCAAGACGGAGCTGCTCTTCCTCCCGGGGAAGGACTGCCCGTTCCATGATCTCGCCATCACGGTTGACAACTCCGCTGTGTCCTCCTCCCAGAGTGCGAAGAGCCTAGGCGTGACCCTGGACAACACCCTGTCGTTCTCCGCCAACATCAAGGCGGTGACCCGCTCCTGCAGGTTCATGCTCTACAACATTCGGAGAGTGCGACCCTGCCTTACACAGGAAGCGGCGCAGGTCCTGGTCCAGGCACTTGTCATCTCCCGTCTGGACTACTGCAACTCGCTGTTGGCTGGGCTCCCTGCCTGTGCCATTAAACCCCTACAACTCATCCAGAATGCCGCAGCCCGTCTGGTGTTCAACCTTCCCAAGTTCTCTCACGTCACCCCCCTCCTCCGCACACTCCACTGGCTTCCAGTTGAAGCTCGCATCCGCTACAAGACCATGGTGCTTGCCTATGGAGCAGTGAGGGGAACGGCACCTCTGTACCTTCAGGGTCTGATCAGTCCCTACACCCAAACGAGGACATTGCGTTCATCCACCTCTGGCCTGCTGGCTCCCCTTCCTCTGCGGAAGCACAGCTCCCGCTCAGCCCAGTCAAAAACTGTTCGCTGCTCTGGCACCCCAATGGTGGAACAAGCTCCCTCACGACGCCAGGACAGCGGAGTCACTCACCACCTTCCGGAGACATTTGAAACCCCACCTCTTTAAGGAATACCTGGGATAGGATAAAGTATTCCTTCTAACCCCCCCCCCCCCCCCCAAATTGTAAAGTGGTTATCCCACTGGCTATAGGGTGAACGCACCAATTTGTGAGTCGCTCTGGCTAAGAGCGTCTGCTAAATGACGTTAATGTGCCCTTGAGCAAGGCACTTAACCCTAATTGCTCCTGTAAGTCGCTCTGGTTAAGAGCGTCTGCTAAATGACTAAAATGTAATGTAAATGTAAATGATGGTATCAGGTCTCTTCCAGGAAAAGGTCTGCGTTGCTGGGGGACTTATTATTAGAGCTTCCCGCCCTGTCCTGGAAAATTCCACCATAAACCTCAATCTCTCACAAAGCACAAGCTCAAACAGAGACGGACACAGGAACCAGACACGGTTTTACCTTCCAGCAATAAAACATACAGTGATATATTGTCCATTGACAGTGACTACCCATAATAAAGAGTTCAAACTTCGAAAATGAATTGTGACCACGTCTGTCAAGGGCAGGGAAAGAGGCAGATTATCCTGAAATAAACTTTGGCCTAAAATATACTGTGAGCTTGGATTTCACTCGTTATTTATAAGATGATAGGTTGTCCTCACCACATTAATATATTGCTGTGAAAACATTTGGCATGTGTATAGCTGCGGGACCCTACCAAACGAATTGAAGCAAGACAAATTACCAGACATTGGATGTAAAAAGGGAGAGATCTAGGGGTTGCTTGTGGATGGGTGGGGCCTCTAATAGTTATGTTGGCCACTACATTCAAACGGATGACAGACAGGGGGAAGTGGGTGAAATGGGGTCAGAATATTTACCCTTCATATGTTTTGAGGTGGTGTTGACGTCTTCGAGATTTATTCTCCCTCACACTGCTATTCGAATCATCTCGCTTCTGGCGCTTTCGGCTCTCCACCCAGGTGAACTCACTGAGCCAAACGCCAGGGGAACGCATTCGCTTTGCCTGTCGCATCTGCCACACAACAGTGATAAATGTTCACATTAATAGCTAAAACTAGCTAACGTTACATGGCTATCTGCAGTGCCCACAAACTGTACAAATAATTCCAATCTGCATATAGCTAGCTAGTTAATCTTCTAGATGACATTAAGTGAATTCAACCATACACCAGTAACTAAACATGGTCAATTGATCCTCTACAGACACCGACTGGTGTCTTTGTTCTATGCTAGCTACCTTAACGTACCTAACGTTAGCTTGCTAGCTAAATTAATAACAACCATCCAAGTGAAACCTATCTAGCTGCTAGACTAACTTCTTCAGATAACGTCAGCAACATGTATCTGATAAATGCTAGCGTCAACAACAACAATTTTCAGGAAAAAAAGAGACATAACTAGCTATCTGTACATTGGCTAGCCAGCTGACTAACGCTAGCTTTCTGGTTCGTCGACGAAACGTGAAGGCTAGCTAGATAATGTTGAACAGATAATATATCGTTTATATTCTAGTATTACAGATTAAATCAGCTGTCCTCACTTTATCTATCGATTGATGTACCCCAAAAAACGAACAGGTAAAAACGATGTTTTATCTGTACTTTTGTAGTGTACGAACAAAGCTGCCTTCCAAAATGGCGAACTCTGCTGCTGCTGTAACTTGTCATGACAGATAGAACAATGAGACGGATATTTAACCGGATGTATAAATATGAAGCATCCGGTTGGCGTTTCCTCTCACTACCAAATATGGAAGTGAGAGGAAGCCCAGTGTCCGGCAGTGGGAGAAGATGGAGCTAGATGGATTATTGCCGACATTCTGCAAATTTTCTCATCAATGAAACAGTTGATCTCCATTTATGTTTGCTGTTTCCAAAACAAATGTAATCAATAAATACCTTGTTTACTGTAAAATGTTCTCTGTGATTTTGTTTAGGGGGAGGGGAAGCAATATAAAAAACAAATCATTATGCAAAGCTAATTTCCCGCTTGATTATGAAATTGTTGAGCTGGAATCTCATGTGTTTGTTGTCAAAGGTACTGATAACTACTGCAATTATTATGAAGATACAAAGATGAGGCTATGTGCAGCAATCGGCTATAACACTATCCAGAGGAAGGGAGGAAAATCATTTTTCCAGTTTCCAACAGATGTTGAAAGGTATGTAATAAATAATGAGAAGATGCATTTGGAGTAATTATTGCATGGTGAGGCACATGTCGTTGGCTTTGTAATCAGTAGTGTCCATGACTACCCATCGAATCAATCACCAAAGCAATGATCACTGATAGATAAAACATGCTAGCTACCAGTAATGAAACAAACCTATAGCTGGGTTTAACACAACTAGCATGAGGCAGCATGGCTAGCTAACGTTAGTTTACCAATATACACTCGGGACTCTTGGCCTCACATCCTATTCTAACCACCTTTCGCTGGCTTTGTATTCATGTTACCTGATAAAATTGCTGTAGAATATGATCTTGTTGCCATCTGATGCACATTCAAATGTCATAAAAAAATCAACACTGCAGAGCTCTCCCTGTCCTCTGCTGTGCCCTGATTGTATTACTGCTGATGCTATCTGGAAATGTGCATGTACACCCTGGCCCATCTACTGTTGCTAGCCCCAATTCTGACGTGTGCTAGGATATCTGTTTCATTGATTTCTGCTCTCGTAAAAGCCTGGGTTTTCTGCACATTAACACTAGAAGCTTATTACCTAAAATGGATCAATTGAAAGTGTGGGTTCACAGCTCCAATCCAGATGTGTTGGTCATTACTGAGATGTGGTTAATAAAGAGTGTTTTTGTCACGAGAATGTTGTTATCTCAATGGTTGAAGTCAACTACTTAAATCTCAGAATAATTCCCAAAAGGTTGTAAATGTTTTAGTTTAAATAAATTAAACAAAGACTCAATCCTGCAATGGTCAGCCCCTGGTTCGACCGTGATCTGGCAGAGTTACTCCACCTCAAGAATTCAATTTGGCGAAAGTCTCGGCACACGCATACTCAGGCTGACTGGCTCTCGTTCAGGCAAATGAGAAATAGGTGCACTCAGGCTATCCGGAAGGCATAGTGAGTTACTTTAAGGAGCAGTTCTCTCTCTGTGGGTCTAACCCCAATAAGTTCTGTAAAACAGTTAAAGACCTGGGGAATAAACCCTCCTCCTCACAGCTGCCCATGTCCCTTAATGTTGATGATGTGGTTGTTACTGACAAGGAGCACATGGCTGAGCTCTTTAATCACCACTTCATTAAGTCAGGATTCCTATTTGACTCAGCCATGCCTCATTGCCCGTCCAACATTTCCTCATCTCCCACCTCTTCTAATGCGACTAGCCCTGATGCTCCTCCCTCTTTTTCCCCTGCCCCGCTACAAAGTTTATCCCTGCAGGCAGTCACTGAGTCTGAGGTGCTAAAGGAACTCCTTAAACTTGACCCCCAAAAACCATCTGAGTCAGATGGTTTAGATCCTTTCTTCTTTAAGGTTGCAGCCCCTATCATCAGCAAGCCTGTCTCTGACCTTTTTAACCTGTCTCTCCTCTCTGGGGAGGTTCCCATTGCTTGGAAGGCAGCCACGGTGCATCCTTTATTTAAAGGGGGATATCAAGCTGATCCTAACTCTTATAGGCCAATTTCTATTTTGCCCTGTTTATCAAAAGTGTTGGAAAAAATGTCTATAGTATTCTCTCTGGTATGCAATCTGGTTTCCGCTCAGGTTATGGATGTGTCACTGCAACCTTAAAGGTCCTAAATGATGTCACCATTGCCCTTGATTCTAAGTAATGTTGTGCTGCTATTTTTATTGACTTGGCCAAAGCTTTTGTAGAGTAGACCATTCCATTCTTGTGGGCCAGCTAAGGAGTATTGGTGTCTCTGAGGGGTCTTTGGCCTGGTTTGCTAACTACCTCTCTCAAAGAGTGCAGCGTATAAAGTCAGAACATCTGCTGTCTCAGCCACTGCCTGTCACCAAGGGAGTACCCCAAGGCTCGATCCTAGGCCCCACGCTCTTCTCAATTTACATCAACAACATAGCTCAGGCAGTAGGAAGCTCTCTCATCCATGTATATGCAGATGATACAGTCTTATACTCAACTGGCACCTCCCCGGATTTTGTGTTAAACGCTCTACAACAAAGCTTTCCTAGTGTCCAACAAGCTTTCTCTGCCCTTAACCTTGTTCTGAACACCTCAAAAACAAAGGTCATGTGGTTTGGTAAGAAGAATGCCCCTCTCCCCACTGGTGTGATAACTAACTCTGAGGGTTTAGAGCTTGAGGGTAGTCACCTCATACAGGTACTTGGGAGTATGGCTAGACGGTATACTGTCCTTCTCTCAGCACATATCAAAGATGTAGGCTAAGGTTAAATCTAGACTTGGTTTCCTCTATCGTAGGTCTACCCATGCTAGATTACGGAGACGTAATTTATAGATCGGCAGGTAAGGGTGCTCTAGAATGGCTAGATGTTCTTTACCATTCGGCCATCAGATTAAAGGTCCCCAAAGCACACACATCCTCCTCTTTTCAGTTCGCTGCAGCTAGCGACTGGAACGAGCTGCAAAAAACACTCAAACTGGACAGTTTTATCTCCATCTCTTTATTCAAAGACTCAATCATGGACACTCTTACTGACAGTTGTGGCTGCTTCGCGTGATGTATTGATGTCTCTACCTTCTTGCCTTTGTGCTGTTGTCTATGCCCAATAATGTTTGTACCATGTTTTGTGCTGCTACCATGTTTTGCTGCTGCCATGTTGTGTTGCTACTATGTTGTTTTGATGTTACATTTACATTTACGTCATTTAGCAGACACTCTTATCCAGAGCGACTTACAAATTGGTGCATTCACCTTATAGCCAGTGGCATAACCACTTTACAATTTTTTTTTTTTTTTTTTTTTTGATGTGGTGTTGCTACCATGCTGTGTTGTCATGTGTTGCTGCCATGCTATGTTGTTGTCTTAGGTTTCTCTTTATGTAGTGTTGTGGTGTCTCTTGTCGTGATGTGTGTTTTGGCCTTTTGCCTTTTTGGTAGGCCATCATTGTTTATTTTTTTATTTTTTTCACCTTTATTTAACTAGGCAAGTCAGTTAAGAACAAATTCTTATTTACAATGTGTCCAGCTATATTACATCCAAGGCTATCCCTGGGTATGCTGCACAATCAACAGAAGCCGTCATTTGTGTCACTGGGTCATTACAAAGTAATTTATTGAGCTGTAGAACACCATCCAGAGTGGCGCAGCGGTCTAAGGCACTGTATCTCAGTGCTTGACGCGTCACTACAGACCCCCTGGTTCGATTCCAGGCTGTATCACAACTGGCCGTGATTGGGAGTCCCATAGGGCGGCGCACAATTGGCCCAGCGTCGTCCGGGTTTGGCCGGTGTAGGCCGTCATTGTAAATAAGAATTTGTTCTTAACTGACTTGCCTAGTTAAATAAAGATAAAATAAATTAAGTACCTCTTAAGTTATGGTAGATGTCTGTAAAACATTGCATAGGCAACTACTTATGTTCTGTTGCCCTATGATCAGATTAGGTCAGAATACCATAAAATATAGTCTACTATAATTATATGCATCTTCAGAAAATAGACAAAACTCAAAAGGTTGTACAGTTATTAAATGCCAGTTAACATGGTGAAAAATATAGAACATATAGTAACCATGAAAGTAGAGCCTTTGATCACAACCTGGAAGAACACATCGCACATGCATCCCCTCAATAGGAAAATGGTACAAAAAAGAAAGACATACACCATGTGTAGAATTAGAGCATTGTTTCAAAAGATCTATCAGTTTTAAGGGCAGCAACTGAAAATGTTTCATGGGACAGGATAAAGTGTGGGCCTTTATTCTATAATATGTTCTCTGTTATTGGGGGTGTTGCTAATCAGGCAATGGTTGTTATGGTGGTGTCTCACAGAGAGGAATGTGTACATTTTGATTGAAGAGAAGGAGTGTGACGTAGACCCCAGAAGTCTGCAGACTACAGAGATGGAGTCCATATACACTACTAACTATAGCAGGACACGATCAGTAAGAATGTAAGGTCCTCATTTGTGTACTGGTCACAGGAGTAGCAAGAAAGGCTGCCTTTCTTATGACTTCTGGAATCAACGTCACACTCCTCTGACACATACTGAGAGAAAAACGATATCGTTGCTGTTTAAATGAACTGTAGAGTACTATTAAAAACAATTAGGGTGAATAACATGGATAGAGGACATAATAGTTTATGGTTATCTACAAACTACAATATACTATCACAGATGTTATAACACCCACTACACTACTGAATGAACTATAAAACAGGAGACCATGAGCATAGACCAACATCCATCAGAAACTAGAGTAGAGGTGAGAAAGAGAACAGGAGACCATGATCATAGACCCATTGTCACACCCTGGCGCTGGGACTCTATATGTTGAGCCAGGGTGTGTTCGTTCTATGTGGTGTATTTCTATGTTGGGAGTTCTAGTTTGTTTATTTCTATGTTGGCCTGAGTGACTCCCAATCAGAGGCAACGAGTGTCAGCTGTGGCTGGTTGTCTCTGATTGGGAGCCATATTTAAACAGTCTGTTTTTCCCTTTGTGTTTGTGGGTTCTTGTTCCGTGTTGGTCTATGTTACCTAGGACGTTACGAGTCGTTTTTTTTGTTTTGT